CAGCTTTGAACCAGAAGACAAGGTGTGGTTGTATAATCTCAGGAAGGCCAAAGGGAATTCTCCTAAGTTGTCTTCTCCGTAGAAAGGCCCATATGACATAGTGGATCGTCTCTCAGATGTGACTTTCCGGATAAAATGTGGTCGGTAAGGTAAGCCAAAGGTGGTGCATGCCAACAGGCTTTGGCATTATCACGGTCCAGGACATTTTAGTTGGAACAAAGTGAACAATGGGAGAAATGACGCTGCTTGAAGACGTGTCACTTGAAAAAGCCACTGTTGAAGAAGAAACTCTACCCAGTTTTTAGAAGGAAAACAGTGAAGCTGTTAATGAAGTTACTACCAATAATGTAACTGCTACTGATAATGGGACAGTTCCTTATGGAGCAGATGAACCCCACGTGAAGCAGAAGCCAATGAGATGGAAACCAATATGGAAGAAGATATGTTCTGTAAAATTAAGAGTCTTCGTTGTATTTGAATTATGTGTCAGTAAATTCTGTACATTTAATTAAGTTATTGTTAATTGGTTTAACGTAAGTGGCTATTGTTCGGGACGAACATTACCAAGGAAGAGGAAGTGTTACGACAGCGGAAGTCACGTGACTCTGGGAGCATGCACACCAGAGTTTCTCGAATGATCATGAATTTGCCCGGCAGCTCGAGTGTGATCTAGATGCCCCCTTTTTTAGTATGTAAGACTGGCAAAGAAAACTAGCTAGGGATAGATAATTGAGTCAATCAAACAGTAGTGATGTTGAGCCATAAATTGTGTGTGTTTTGCAGTCGTTGCGTTGCATAGAGCGAAGTTATCGAGCTTGTGAATCGCTGTGATTATAGCATAATAGTAGAATAAACTGGGTTAATCAAGAAAGGACTTGTATTGCTGAAGTTACTCGGGAAGAATTTCTACGGAAAATAAACAACCAAGCAGATACATAACAAAGTATTTGACATATTTTATTTCGTTTTATTCTGTAATTTATTTTCAGGAGACATTTTTTATTGATCAATATTATTATTTACTTTGTACATTTTGGCCAGGACTGGGTGATCGACAAGGGGTGGCAGTTTTTGTGCACCCTACGCTTTCTCAATTTCTCAGTTTAAGTTATTCTGATCAGTTGGGGAGAGTGATATCTCTGAATTATAATTTTAATTAATTTCTACCATTTCTGAACGGGTTATTTTTCTTTTAGTAGTTTATTTAAACTTTTCGGAGCTGCAACAAATCTTGTTGTTGTAGGCGAATTTAACTGCATCACAAATATTATGTTAGATAAATCTCCAGTAAAATTCGTCACGTTTTCACATCTTTGTTAAGTACTTTTAGTTTTTCAGACGTGCTTCGTTTCCTCTATGGTGATCAACACAGTTTTACATGGAGAAAGTGTATTAGTGGCTCGCTGATTGAAACAAAATTATTGTTACACCTAATTTATTGCCTTTTGATCGGTCTTGGTTTTCTCAACCGGAACGTGCTCTTTTAACGGTCGATTTTTAATTTAATCGGGTATCTTACGGTTCTGGCATTTCAATAATCGTCTAGTGATGGATTATATTGAAACGGTTCTTCTTTTATTTCGACGAAGTCGGCGTTGGCCTGTTTACCAGAATGATATTTGCCAGTGGTATGAGAGTCTGAAGGAAGCTGTACAACAGATTACATTAATTTATGGTTCTCGTCAGGCTCGAGCTTTCAGAGATCGTCATGCATACCTGAAGAGAGCTACAGACCGTGAATATACCTAACTTTGATCTTGCTCTTTCGGTCTCATCTGAAACTCTGTGATTTGGAGGCTGCGTTAGCAGATTTAGTGCTGTAATGGATAGAGGGTATAATGTTACGGTCCCATATGGGATGGTTTGAGGAGGGTGAACGATCCAACAAGTATTTTTTGCATACTGATCAGGTTCGAGCCGGAAAAACTAAAATACAGCATGTTTTCACACCAGAGGGTGTGCTAGTTTCTAGTACCAAAGATATTGGAGCTGTTCTACACTAATTTGATTCTTTTGTCGGTTATCGGTTATCGGTATTGTAATTTAGATTGTCTTATTGGCATCAAACTTCTACAGTATCTATCGGGACTATGATAGTTTTTGTTTGATTTTTTAATGATTTTCAGGTTAGATCTTGTTAACTGCTTAGTTTTCTACTATTATTTGTTATTGTTTATGGTTTGTATTCTGTTTATTTTTGGTTTGTTACTTCTAATTTTTTGTTTATGTACTATAAGTAATTATTCTTATCTATTTTTTTACTATACAGGTATGTACAGTCATTTGCCTGAGATGTCTTGTATCTTTGTTTATACCCCCTCTATGAGTGTGAATTAATAAAGACAAAGAAACATTCGTTCTGCTCTTTCTTTACATTTTTACAATTTAAGATGTAGTGTAGTGTGATGACCTTGTGGTTAAGTGATGGTTTTAGTATAAGATATTCTAACATTCCAAGTTGGAATTCTTCCCGGGAATGGTGAGTGACGCTGAAGAAACATCACTCTGAAGATGGAACAAGAAAGTGAATTACCTGGCAAGTTGTTCATATAACTTCATGTTGCACGTATCTTTACAAAGTCTGTAATGTTCCAATGGTGATAGGGACGATTCTCTCTTCAAATAGACAAAACTACTTTCACAATTCCATTTCTGTCTATAGTTAACGAATCACAAACAGATTCTGTATTAGAAGTGTAAGAATAAAGTATAGGAAAGTTCAGAACAGTAGAGTGCTTCTGACTGACTGCCTTCCCTCAAGTGTAAGAATAAAGTATAGGAAAGTTCAGAACAGTAGAGTGCTTCTGACTGACTGCCTTCCCTCAAGTGTAAGAATAAAGTATAGGAAAGTTCAGAACAGTAGAGTGCTTCTGACTGACTGCCTTCCCTCTAGTCAGTAGTTCAAGATTTGAGACAGACAGAGGCAGATAGCCTGAGTACCTTTTACACAAATACAAATTCTTTCGAATGTCGTAGCTACCTTTCACATATGACGGCCCCCAATGACACAGTGGTATGTCTGCGAACTTGTACCG